AAAGCTGAACAGCCAATAGCTAGGCAAGATCTTAGGGGCAGATAGGATGCTCAGAAGAAGGGCAAAGATGCAGAGAGTCACCAGCCAGATGCAGAGAAAGCAGAACATGCAGGAGAAGAGTACCAAGCCATGAGTCATGCAACAACACATAAATGAATAGAAATGGGTTCATTTAAGTCATAAGAGCTAGGTAGAAGCAAGCCTAAGCAAAGGCCAAGCTTTTGTAATTAATAAAAAGTCTGTTTTGTTATTTAGGAGCTGTCTGGAGGGACAGAAAAATCTGCCTACACCTATCTTCCATCCCCAGCTCTGGAAAAAATTAAGAGAATTAAAGGCCTGACATAGTAGGGCTTCCAGGTGCTCTATCCAATTCACCGGATGAACAGCGTTCGTATGGCCCCAGTCCAGTGAGACGACAGTCCTGTACTGCTTTTTCATTTGACCACACCCTGAGAGGCAAAGGACTTATACTTACATCCACAACTTCATCTTTGGAATGGAAATCAGACACAAGAACATTCTCCCCATCCGACACCCTGGTGAGCGAGATGCAAGCCCTGCCGGAAATGATCTGGTGGACGTTGTCCGGGAGGCTCTCCAGGAGCCCATCTCGGATGCACTTGTTAATGTTAAAGGAGGGATGGAGGGAGCCGATGCTGCGGCTCCTGGCTTTCCGCACAAGGTCCATGAGGGTCTCTATGATGTGATCTGGGGACAAAAGACAAACACACAGAAGAGAATGTCACATTGGAGACCAGAAACCACACAGAACTCCCAGACTGTGGCTGGTCCCAATTAAGATACCAAAAAACACACTTAGTTGGAGCAACTAAGAAATATACAATGGCCCGAATGGCGTGTGGTGTGTATTCTATGGATGGCGCTGAGCTAGGCCTTCCAGTGGCCCATGTATGTGAGTCCGGTGTGTCCATAAAGTCACAAGTCACCAACACATCAACACCCCAACCTTGGTACAAATGGACTAAACGTTAGTGGGTACAGAAGAAACAACGCAGGCCTGGACCTAAATGTTATCCTCAACTCCACCCCTTACTGAGGAAAGCGGTCTGCCACCCGTCTATCCCTCAGATGGCTTTTTAAAATATTTAAAAATTGGCCAGGCGATGGTGGCGCACGCCTTTAATCCCAGCACTCGGGAGGCAGAGGCAGGCGGATCTCTGTGAGTTCCAGGCCAGCCTGGTCTACAAGAGCTAGTTCCAGGACAGGCTCCAAAGCTACAGAGAAACCCTGCCTCGAAAAAAAAATTAAAGATTAATTTATTTATATGCATGTGTGTGCATGAGCTTATGTGTACATGTGTGCAGGAGTCCATAGAGGCCAGAAGAGAGTGTCACATTCTCAGGGCCTAGAGTTACATACAGGTGCCTATAAATTGCCAAGTGTATGCTGGGGACTGAACCTGAGTCCTTTGCAAGAGCAGTAAGCCATCTTAACCACTGAGCCGTCTCTCCAGCCGCTAGACTGCCTTTTTCAACAAAAGTAAAATTTACTTGCTTTCAGAGAGAGAAAGGATTGAGTAAAATAACATCTATAAAATGCTCACCTCAGAAAAGGCTGCTTAAGTGGCTAGGCTCCACGGGAGCCTCTAAGCCCAGAATTCCCAGACCGCACAGCAGGTGCATGGCATATTTGTGTTTCATCTGCCCTCACTCTCCAGCCCAGCGCTCTTGGGCCAATCCACTCTATCCTGGTACCACGACCACCTCTTCTAGCCCCAAGCAGCACAAATCCTGAACTCCACAAAGACAGACATATCCCAGCATTATCTGATCCAACTCTAACCCTGACTCCCAGCAAACCCTACCCGCTTGCTGAGCCTGGCTTGAGAGTGAACTTACACCACATGACTGGCAGATCCTACCACCTCCTCTGCCAAGTCTAGCCAACTCAGGTGCCCCAAGGGCCCGTGCCTGTCACAGCCCTGGGCAATGTACCTCAGCAGCCCCCACCAGAGGTAACCTGTACCTCCGGCCTCTCTGTGACCTGATAAGAAAGCCCATAGGCTGTCCCTGTTAACACCACTGTACCAGAGGTTCTCAACCTTCCTTAATGCTGCTAACTTTTTAATACCGTTCCTCATGTTGTGGTGACCCCAAACCATAAAATTATTTCCTTTGCTACTTCATAACTGCAATTTTGCTGTTATAAATTATAATGGAAGTATCTATATTTTCTGATGGTCTTAGGCGACCCCTGTGAAATCATCGTTTGATCCCCCAAGGGGTTGCACCCACAGTTTGAGAAGCACTGCTCTATATGAAAGTGGATATACTTTAGATTCCTGGGGTCAATGCATTTAAACCTTGTCTCAATAATCATCCACTCATACAGGGGTCCAGAAGCCTCCGTAATAAGAAATGCCTTTGGTCAGTCCTGAAGCCCAGTGCAATGGCCATTAGGCTGGTCAAGCCTTCCCAGAGGCCACTCTCTCTGACCTTTGCTCCTGTCTCCCTCCCTCACTGGGGAAGACAGCAAGCAGGCACACAGCCAGACACCGCTTGTCTTCTAATCCCTGAGTCCCATCAGCTCAGGGTCTGCTCACTGATTCTATCCAATGACAGTGCTCCGCTCACCAGCAGGGGCTTTCATGTGCCTGCCAAAGTCACTCCGGGCTGCCAGTGGCCAGCTGAACAAAGAGTAAAGCGTTAAAGAGGTCCGGATCAATAAGGGTTGATAAGGGGCATTATCATGTTGCCTGGGGACCTTTGGGTGTCAGCAGCTCCCCCCCCCCCGGGGGGGAGGCACTTAGCCAGGCCCTGCCCACAACCTCAAAAGCATTCAACTGTGACTCTGGGAAGGGCATTGCATTCTAATAGTTTGGGGGGGGGGTGAGAGAAGTAAACTCACCTTCTCTTGCGCGTGGATGCGTGCATGGACAAATGTTTAATTAGGCCAAGATTCAAATGCCCAGAATGTCACTGCCGGTGACATCGATCTGGGAGGGGCGGCTTGGCCCAGGTCAGTGAAGACCGAAGAGGGTGGAACTAAGCCTGTCTGGGAATCCATTCCAATCTCTAGGGAGGATTCCAAACACTTTCCTAAGCCACGCACCCCATCCCTAGCAGCCACCTCTCAAGACGACCAGAGGGGCTGAACTGCCGCCAAAGGTGTTCAAGTCTGGGTACCTTCTGTCCCCCTGGCAGCACTCACCACGGTACCTTAGCCAGAGACACACAGGACAAACCCTTCGCGGCCCTGATGACAGGACCAGAGGACCCCGCCCCCTGCATTGATACCTGCACCTTGTTATCTCCTGATCCGGAATGGCCCAGCTGGCAGGACCCCGGTGCAGGACCCATTTCAAACCAGGGCACCGGAGCGGGAAGAAGATGCTCAAGCGTCTCCGATGCATAGCGTGCCCTCTGCCTCCCACCCTCGGAAATCCCACGCCGGGCTCCACGGCACCGGGAAGGATGAGAGCTATCTGGACAGGTTCCCCGGAAGGTGTCACCTATTCCTTAGGTGGAGAGCCCCACCCCGCACGGGGCCTGGGTGGTGGCCGTGAACGCACCAAGAGGGAGACTGCATAAGAAGGTGACCACGTGCAGTGCACCGGCCGAGCAACCGAAGAAGGTGCGTGCATCGCGGAGGAGGTGCGGGGCGCGCTCGCTCAGACACAGCGTGGCCCCGACGTGGTAGAAGCCCAGGAAACCGCAGCCGGCGAACGACAGGCTCCAGCCGCGCTCTGGGTCGTACATGGTGCTCGGCGCTCAGGGTGGCGCTGCAGCTCAGCTTCAGCTCCGCTCCCAGTTTGCAGCTCTGAGCCTAGGGAGCGGCAGCAACTTGGACAGTCCTTGGATGACATCACCCGAAGCCCCGCCCCACTCAGACCATGCAAATAAGCCAGAGGGAGGCCCAATGGGCTTACAGGACTCCTGCTCCGCCCCCACCCTCGTGGGCTTTCCCAAACCCTAGGCTTGGGTGCTTGCTGGACAGAAGGGGTTCTTTTCATTCTTTCTTTAAGGTCCTGAGAGAAGGACACTCTCTCCTTTCCTTTATTACAAGGGAGATGGCACTATCTAAAAAGGAATTATTGTTTCCTTTATTTTCTCGCAGGTTTTCTGTTTCTGAAGTTATTTATTTTGCTTTCTGTACGTTTTCAATTCATAGAGAGAGATGTAGGAGATTTTCTTTCTTTCTTAAAAAGATCCTAGGGGGTCCCCCCCACCCCCCATGTGCCTGAGTATTCTGCTTGCATGCATGTCTGTGCACCACGGGTATGCAGTGTCCACGGAAGCCAGAAGAGGATCTTAGAGCCCCTGGAACTGGAGTTACAGACAGTTGTGAGCCATCAGATGGGTGCTTGGAATTGAACTCCAGTTAGAGTACTTGTGCTCTCAAACACCGAACCATCTCTCCAGTCCTTGTTTAATTTTACAGTATTAGGAGCTGAACCAGGGGCCTCCTGCATGCTAGGCAAATGTTCTCTACCCACTACACTCCCAGCCTTTTTTCCCTTAGGACATGCTGTCTCCTTCGGTTACTCGGTTGGCTTTCAATTCAGTCTGTACCCCAGCCTGGACTTCAACTTCTGCCCCTCATGCCTCAGCCTCATAGGTAACTAGGATAACAGGATGGCACCACCTGGCAGGGCCTCAAGTTTCCATGTCAGGTGTCACTTCAAAATAAACACTGAGATTGGCAGGTGTCAATAAAGGCAAGAGTTGGGGGAACTAGAAGCCAGATGATTTCTGGTCCTGACTGTGCCTGTTCAGGCTTCTGACACAAAGTATCTTTGACCAGTGGGCTTAGATTCTAAAAGCCATATTTTGTCTTATTTTATGTATAGCAATACAATTTGCATATTACTCTATTATTTAAATTTTATTTTTAATATTTTCTGTGTACCCATTGGCTGCATGCAGATTTGTGCACCACATTCATGTCTGGTGCCCATGGCAAAGGGCATTGGAGCCCCTGGAACTGGAGTTACAGTCATGAACCACTATGTGGATGGTGGGACTCGAACCCAGGTCCTCTGGAGGAGCAGCATGTGCTCTTAACCACTGAGCCATCTCTCCAGCCCTATAGTAGGATAATTTGATACAGTGTTAAGCAGAAGGAAAAAAAGAAAACATTTAAGTTATAAAACCCCTCACTCCACAGAACAAATTTCTTTTAAAAATACTTTTTTGAAGTGGGTCAACATAACAAATGTGTTCAGTGATTAGTGGTATCTAATTCCTACTGCCCTGATGGTCAGTGGGATTAAAAAGATATCCCCCTTCAGTCACTGCTCAAAGGAAGAACACAGGCTGGAATCTTTTGCAATGCAAAGATGGTTCTTTGGTACTCCAGTACCCAGAGATTTGAAGTCTCATGTCCATTATGGAGGGGGGAAAACTTTGACAGAGTTGAAACTAGGAAAAAAAAAAAAGCTTTGCATCCTTTCTTATGGCTTATGTGTCCTTTTTGTCCACATCCCTCTTTTGATCTCCTTTCTAACTTGTAGAAAAATGTAAGGGCCTGTTGGCCACTCGCCGTCCTCTTGGCCATCCATCCTTGCGTGCTGACACAGAGGAGCGCTCTCCCTCACACCTGATGAGCATCCTTTAACCGCCCAGAGCTTTGGTCTGCTTGCCAGTCCTAGGGAGGAAAAGCAGATGTGTGTGGTTCACTGTGAGGCTAAGTGTGAAGACCGTTGCTAGCATCCTGCTAGGAGCACCCTTTGTCCCCATCCCAGTCTCTGGGTCTGCCTTCCGCCCATACTTCTCCTCTGGCCCTTGCGCAAGCTGACTCATCTCCTGAGCTGAGCTCCCCATTTTGGCCTTAGGGAGTTTCTCCATATTTCACCATCTGTTCACTCAAACAAGCAAGCGACAACTCTACCCATGTAAGAGGGCCTGTGGCTGTGCCCTGCTGGACTCTGCAGGATAGGATGTCAGATCCCCATGATAACAGAGTCTGTTTAAGCTTGAATAATGAAGGATTCTTTCCCAAGAGAAAAGGCATCTGCTTCCCCACTGCTCTGGTGTTTAACTAAAAATACACTGTGGGATTGACTGGCAAGAGCTGGGTGTTCTTTTCTGTAGAGCAGTTCATATTGCCTTTGAGTCCATGAAGTAATTACACTTCACTATTAAAAGCCAAATGCCTAGGAAAGAGAAGACACGATAGGCTTGAGCAGACTTTTTATTTTGATAAAAACAATTAAGATTTTAATATTCAGTCACATTAAATAATTTATGCTTAAACTTCAATTTTGGGGGGCTACAGAGATGCTTCAACTGTTAAGAGCACTTACTGCTCTTGAAGGGGACAGAGGTTCAATTCCCAGCACCCACATGGCAATTTACAACCATTCTAATTCCAGTTCCAGGGAATCCAACACCCTCTTCTGGCCTCCCAGGGCTCCATTATGCACGTGAATATATACTTGTGCAGACTCGCACAAACATAAATAAAAAATAAGCATATCTTTTAAAAATAAAAGTTTGAGTTACCTGTGAGTCCGAGGCCAGCCTGGTCTACAGAGCAAGTTCCAGGACAGTCAGGGCTACACAGAGAAACTCTGTCTCAAAAAATCATAAAAGAAAAGAAAACAAAACCAAGAGTTTGTGTAGCTTATTGGAGAGACTTAAACAAACAAGCAAACAAAACAACAACACTATTTTCATACAAACTTTCAGATGACTATGGCGGTTAACCTTGATCTTCAACTTGCATAGATTTGAAACCACCTAGGTGCCATTCCTCTGACTGTGTCTGGGAGGAGTTTCCATTTACCTACAGAGGGACAACCAAGACCAAATGTGGGTGCCACCGTCCCACGGTGTCCCTGGGTGTCCTTCTTAAGATCCAATTGCAAAGGAGGAAGGCAACTGAAGACCAGCGTGCAGCTCTCACTGTTTCTTGGTTGTATGCAATGCCATCGGCTGCTTCCTGCTTTCTCTGCCCCAACTTACCACAGAGATGAATACCTCAGACTGCTGAAATAAGCAAGTCCTTGCCAGCAAGACGGCTCAACAGATAAGGAGGCTCACTGCCAAGGATGGTGACCTGCTTTCCATGCTAGGACAGTTCAGAGGAAGAAGAGGAATGGCTCTGGCTAGTTGTCCATTGTGTTCTCTTCCTCCACCCCCACACACAATGTAATAAACAATCAGAACAAACCTTTATGTCCTTAGGTTGTTTGTCACAGCCACTGGACAAGGAGCTGACAAGAGACGAAGGCACTTCCTGGATTTTTCCTGCCTCCGGGAATCCTTCAGTCCAGACATCTGGGATAGCTGACGGCCATGCTCAGGGCCTTGCAAATGTCAGGGGTAGATTTTTAGCCAATCACATGTCTCCAAGAGATCCTAACAGAGGTCAATATCACCCAGCAGGAGATACCCAACCCACTGGCCCAGAGATTGAGAACAGCTCAAAAGCAAACAAAGTCACTGTGACTCCTTTAGTAGTCATGAATTTTGCATTTTATTTTATTGCCTATTTGCTAAAGTTCAATTATAACTTGCAAGCCATCACTTGTGAGTTATCTGTAGACATACACAAAGATGAGTATGAATGTGAGCTTTTCAATATGTACGTCCATCTCTGGATGGAGGCAAGTAGCAAGCCTTCTTGTTTGGTTCTCTGGCTATAAACGGTGTCCTTCTGGCCTGGTAACCGCTTTGTTCTCACACTGAGGACATTCTTTTAAGTGTTTTGACTGTTACAAGTGAATTGTTCCATATCTGAAACTCTGCCTAGGGTTTCTTGGATCAGGGATCCTGGGGTGTTTCTTACAGAAAGAATGCATTTAAGTGGGTGGGGAAATCAAAAGTTCAAGGTCATCTTCAACTACCTGGAAGCTTCATGATACCCTGTCAACAAACAAACAAAACCAGAAAAACATATTTAAAGGAGAAAGAATGCAAAAGGAACAGAAAAAAAAAGTTGTATCAAGGGAGGTTTGTAACAAGAGGTTTGCAGAAATGTAACTGTGTATTGATTTGGAATTGGCTAATTTTCATCAGGGGAAATCAGAACTGACTGTGTGCTGAGGGTATCCTTCAGTGGTATGGCACTTGCCATGTGTATGTGAGCCCTGGGTTTACTCTTCACCAATGCAAAAAGGAAAAAAGGAAATGAGAAGTGCTGTATGCTATACACACATTCAGAAGGAGGAAGGCAGATGCTGAATTTCATGTTAACGGGACTGGAAATATACAGTGAACGGCTTGCTCTGACCACACAGGGTCCAGATGGTGATGAGAGGCTCAGGAGACAACGCTGCCCCACTCAGCCCTGCCGGATACAGGGATGCCAGCATCCTTCACCCAGTTTCCCAACCCTGCACCCAGGACTTGACTGCCTGGAGGCTCTCAGTTACCTGCCAGCTTGCTAGATGTCTGGATCATCGCAGGGAGATTTTCTGCAAGTGGGAGGCAGGTTTGACTCAGCCCAGGGCAAAAATAGGATAGAATTGTGTTGGGATAGATGGGTAAGCCAGGGCAACTGTGACCTGAGCCGGCGCCCCATGTCCTCCGCACAGTTCAGTTTCAGACTGGCTGCTTGTCTCCTCACACCTTCCCCAACTTCTTCAGGCCCCCAGTGATGCCTCAGTAGGGGAGTCCAGCCATTGGTCCACTTTGTCTCACCCCTTCACCTGCTCCGTGAACTTTGTCACCGGCCCTGGCAGCCATTCACTCCTTTGTCCCCTTTTAACCTTTCCTGACTATACTCTCAGTTCCCGTGAGTCCATTCCGGCACAGCCATCCCCTCCCAATCACTCTTTCAGCTTCATGCATTGACTCTGTCCCTACCAACAATCCGTTCTCCACTCCCACACACACCAACCATCACTCTACAGTCGGATTCCCATGAATCTGACTGACCTGTTTCACTGCAGTAGACTACCGTGACATGAACATAGACAGACATTGGCTGCCTTTCCACAATGGCAGAGATTATTGAATAGCGACCAATCTGCCAGTTCTTCAGTTTCCCTGTTTTCTCTTGATCTTGCTTGGTAACTGCAGTCTTGCCCATGAGGAGTTCTTCACTCCATTCCAATGTTTTGGTGTTTTCGTTTATGCCTGTGAGTGTTTTGCCTGAGGAGGCCAGAAGAAGGCGTTGTACCCCCTGCGGCTAGAGTTATAGACAATTGTGAGTCACCATGTGGATGCTGAGAAAGGAACAGCCGGAGGACTTAACAGCTGAGGCTTCTCTCTAGGACCATTTCAATCTTAAACACTATTTATCAAACTAATGAAATGTAGGTTACAGAATAGCTAAGATGCCCGGGCATGATGGCGCACACCTTTAATCCCAGCACTTGGGAAGCAGAGGCAGGTGGACCTCTGTGAGTTTGAGGCCAACCTGATCTACAGAGCTGTGGTGAGCCCACAGTGTTATACAGTAAATGGACAGCTGACAGATCCATCGGACTATCCACAGGAAGTGTATACAGACGCTCAGCTTGGAGTAACCCGTTTTTTTGCAGACATCTTTCCTTTTGGATAAGTCACTATCAATTCTGTAGAAATCTTGTGAAATCAAGGTATTTCTCCCTTCTATAGTATCCCAACAGCGTATAAACTGACTTTTCCTGTAGAACAACTGGGTACCTCCCCCATAGCATGAAGCCGTGGTGGGAAAAGGATTCAGTCAAGCCCTTTTTATATAGCCAAAATCTACAGAAAAATAGTCCCCCACAGACTTCCTTTCTTGACAATAGTCACTGATAAGAAAGGAGATAATATGTCTGCTCTAATAGCAGACTCAGGAAGGTGTTGTTTACTGGTCTGCTCTGATTAAACAGGCTACTAATATTCTGTATTACCCTTTACCTTGGTTTCAAGGTAGCCCAGGAAATTAACCGTTTATACAGAAAAAAAAAAGGTCTGAGTTACTAAAACTAGCTTCTGAGAGAAAAATTCTCACCTGGCCACCCTGCTGGATCAAAAGCAAGGTCTCCAGAAGAGATTCCTTACTCAACCAGCTAGATGCTAATGAAAAATCAAGCCCACAGGTTAGTATAGCTACCAACGGCAGGGGGCTGTGTTCCCAGCTGCAGCCATGCCCCCTCTGAGATGTAAAACACCTCCTTGGCAGATCCACCGGCTCTTGTGACTCTGTGTAAATGCATGCTTGATACTATTGTTACTGCCTACGGGATAGCTAACTTGTCTGTATGCCTGTATAAACTGAAAGCTTTGTGGAGATCACTTTTTTTTTTTTTTAACCATTATGCCTTGTGCCTTATCCCTTACCCTTTTTTACCCTTACCCCTTACCTCTTATCCCTTACCCTTATACCTTATATCTAATGCCCCTATGGTACTGCTGCTTCTTTTCCCTTCTTCTAGCTTCCCCCCAAAAATAAAGAAACATGCAGGAAAAACATGCCTATTCCAATCAGTTTGTTTTATTCCTCAGATCCCCTTCCCAAGTCAGTTTTCACTTGTTGTACAAGTCCTGTTCTGAACCCTGAGAGAGTACTGAGGCTGGTACTCATCTCCCGATACAGAGCAAGTTCCAAAACAGCCAGGGTTACACAGAGCAAACTCTGTCTCAAAAAAAAAACAAAACAAAACAACAGAACAGCTAAGAGAGGGTGAAACAGCTCTCGGGGGCCCTGAGGCTTCCCTAAACCAGAGGATGAACTGATGATACAAGTCTGCTGACCTCACTTAGCCCTCAGCTGGTCAGATTGATTGACCTTACCAACCAGCCCCAAGCTCTTCCCACACTGGCTGCCAAGGTACCCAGCAGGTTCTGGCAAAAGACAGAGCTCCAAATACAGAGCTCCGACCATAGAGAGAGTGATGTACAAAATTAACCTCAGCATGTTCCGTCCTTGACACCCACTCTGCATGCAGGGTGGGTGGATGCTGCCTTACCCCAGGATTTAGCAGCCCTCCTTCGTCCAGGTGAGGGACTAAGTCATCTGCTGGTGTGTCGCAAGCTTCCAATTTCCCTCCAGTGGCTTTGATGGGATTCAGTGTGATGTGTCCGTTGGTGACCATTCTGTGTTTGTGTGGATAAGAGATTGATCAGCCAGTGCTGGACAGATAATGTTCACTCACACACCATCAAGGCAGAATTGTTTGCCTTAGTACGTTCTCTCAGAGCAGCCAACTGCTGTGTTGGCAGAGGAGTCATCCCAGGCCAGCCAGGGTCAAGAGTCACTGTTCTTACTACAGAAGAACCCGCCCTAGCAGGCCAGCGTAATAATCCTCACTTGTGCCGGTGGGCTCACATGTGTGCGTCTGATTGGCTTATTCAGCATGATGGCCTGAGCTGTGTGCAGTGTACAACGTCCTCCCTTTTGTTTAGACAGACTCTCAGGTAGCCCAGTCTAGCTTCAAACTCTCTATGTAACTGAGGATTGACCTTAGATTCCTGATCCCCTCACCTCCATCCCTGGAGGGCTGGAGTGAGGGAGAACAGGCTTTCGTCATCGTCATCACCAGATTCATTATTGTTGTGTGTGGCTGATATGTGTGTGTGAATGCAGACACATATGGGCCACATATCAAATGTGGAAGTCACAGGACAACTTTCAGGAGTCTATTCGCTCCTTCGACCGCCAGCTTGCCATTTCCAACATCAACCACAAATGATGGTGCCATCTTTAGGGGCTAGAGAGATCGTGCAAATGTTAAGAGCCCTTGTTCCCCCGGAGGATTCAAATTCGGTTTCCACACCCACATCAGGTGGCTCACAACCACCTGTAACTCCAGCTTCAGGTATCTTCTGCCTGCTTCTGTCCTTTTGGGTACACACAGAGTCTGTCTGTCTGTCTGTCTCTCGTACTTTATGTACTATATATTAAGATATTCAAATATCTTCATATATACCATATATTAAGATACTCTCTATACAGATATGAAATACATATGCTATATATTAAGATATTCTCTATATAGTTGAGACACAGAGTGATATATATGTGTATGTATATGTATATATATTGTATATATGTATATATACACACATATATACATATATATGTCTACCTTTTTAATAGGTGGTAGGGGATTTAAAGTTACAAAATCCATCCCCCAAGAACAAACTTTTTTATTTGTTTGATTTTTTTTTCAAGACAGGGTTTCTCTGTGTAACAACCCTGACTGTTTGGGCCAGGCTGGCCTCACACTCAGAGTTATATGTGTCTCTGCCTCCCAAGTGTTGGAATTAAAGGCGTGAACCATCATACCTGGCAAGAACAGACTTTTATTTATTTCTTTTTCTTTCTTGCCTTCCTTCCTTC